TGGCTGCTTTGGAGGTGTGACTTTGTTCTTGATAGCTTTCCAGAGGTTCTGGACCACGCCCTGGCTTTCCGAACCTCTGCAGCAGGCCCGCCCTAACTTCAGTGTTCGTCGCTTCAGGGTCTAGGAGCAGGGTTTGGGATTTAGGGCCTGGCCGTCCGCAGTGCTGCAGTCCTAAAGTCCGTGGAGTATCTAATCTTGACAAAGAGACTTCCAACAGCAACCTCTTCTTAAAGATTAGAGCTGGGTGCCAAAGCTCTAAAGCTGGGTTCCAGGCTCTCTAGGGCCCGGCAACGCTGCAGTCCCAGAGTCCGCGGAGTCTCTAATCTTGAAACAGAGGCCTCGGGGCCAAAGCTCTAAAGCTGGATACAGGGGCCCGGACCGGAGAACTCTAAACCTCTGATTCAGCGCAGCAGTTCAGCTGCCGGAGCTCTAAACCTCAGAGCAGAGGCCCAAGCCATAATGAAGCTTGGAAATTTCACCAAGGGTTATTGATAACTGCTGGTGAAATGTTTAGGTTTTGAAACCCGAACATTTCACTCAAAGATTAAGCTATGTCTAGGAGTGAAATGTTCTGGTTTCAATACCTGAACATTTCACCAGCAGTTATTAATAACCCTTGGTGAAATGTTCGTGTTTTGAAACAGAAAGATTTCATCTAGAGTTATCAATAATTTTTTCCTGGCTCTCAGGCTGGGATGTCCCAGAGCTTCGCCTTCTCCTGAGGCCCAGGTTTCCAGCAGTTATAGAGTTTTGTTGCTTTGCCTCTTCCTGAAAGCTAGAAGGCCTGCAGCTTCAGCACTTGCCTGCCCAGCCTCTGCCTCAGCCGGATATCTCGCAGCTTCAGGGCTTTGCTGGTCATTTTGCATTCTCGGGGTCGCAGTGGCGCTTCAGTAAGCACTGAAATGCATGACTCTTGTCCTGTGCAAGCTGCGCATCACGTTCTGTGAACATCGAGGCCCTCTTCGGTTCGAGGTTTGGTCACTCCTGCCAGCGAGCATCCGTTTTTTCCGAGCCATGTCGAACAAGAGACCCACGACAACGGCTGATGACGCCGTCCAGCGGCTGCTGCAAAATGGCGGCACGAAGAGAAAAACCCCGGAGCTGGCACAGTCCTCCGAGGAGGTCGTAGTGCCCACGGCGAGGCCCAAAGTTCAGCAGCCGACGGCTTCTCCGGCGCCTGTGCCAGCCTGGAGTCCACCTGAAGGCCCCAAGAATTCCGTGGATGTCTGGGAACAGATGCGG